AAAGCCTGCTTCTCTCTATTTCTCCAGGACCAGGATTAAATCCTGTAGCTCTGTATTTCTCCAGGACCAGGATTAAATCCCGTAGCTCTGTATTTCTCCAGGACCAGGACTAGAACTAAAGCCTGTTGCTCTCCAGGACTAATCAAATAATATAAAATGTATTTACAAAGCCCGTTTTACATCAGCAGATGTCTCAAAGTGCAGAAACAGAAACCCATTCTAAATCCCCAAACAGCAAGCAAGTAAGATGTAGAAACACGGTGGCTAGGGAAAACTCCCTAGAAAGGCAAGAACCTAGAAAGAAACCTAGAGAGGGATCAGGCTCTGAGTGGTGGCCAGTCCTCTTCTGGCTGTGACGTGTGGCGATTACAAGAGTACATGGCCAATAAGGCCAGATCCTTCTTCAAGATGTTCAAATGTTCATATATGACCAGCAGGGTCAAATAATAATCACAGTGGTTGCATCAGGTCAGCACCTCAGGAGTAAATGTCAGTTGGCTGTTCATAGCCATTCAGAGGTCGAGACAGCAGGTGCGGTAGAGCTAGAGAGAGAGAGAGAGAGAGAGAGAGAGAGAGAGAGAGAGAGAGAGAGAGAGGGTCGAAAACAGCAGGTCTGGGACAATGTAGCATGTCCGGAGAGCAGGCCATAGCCACAGGCAAAACAGCAGAAACTGGATCAGCAGCACGACCAGGTGGACTGGGGACGGAGAGAGCCAGGAGTCATCAGGGCAGGTAGTCCTGAGGCATGGTTCTAGGGCTCAGGTCCTCTGGGAGGTTGAGAGAGAGAGAAAGAGATAAGACAGGAGAATTTCACCAGATAGGACAGACTGACCCTAGCCCCCCGGCACATAGACTATTGCGGCATTGATACTGAAGGCTGAGACAGGGGGGTCAGGGGACACTGTGGGCCCGTCCGACAATAACCCCAGACAGGGCCAACCAGGCAGGATATAACCCCACCCACTTTGCTAAAGCACAGCCCCCACACCACCAGAGGGATATCAACAGACCACCAGCTTACTACCCTGAGACAAGGTTGAGTATAGTCCACAAACATCTCCTCCACTGAACGAGCCCGAGGGGGCACAAAACCGGACAGCAAGATCATGTCAGTGACTCAACCCACTCAAGTCGAGTACAGCGCAAAAAAGCCTGGCACGATGTGACGCACTCCTCCTAGGTACGGAATGGACGAGCACTAGTAAGCCAGTGACTCAGCCCCCGTAATAGGGTCAGAGGCAGAGAATCCCAGTGGAGAGACAGGAACCGGCCAGGCAGAGACAGCAAGGGCGGTTCATCATTCCAGTGCCTTGCCGTTCACCTTCGCACCCCTGGGCCAGACTACACTCAATCATAGGACCTACTGAAGAGATGAGTCTTCAGTAAAGACTTAAAGGTCTCACATGGATAGGCAGACCAATCCATAAAAACTGAGCTCTATAGGAGAAAGCCCTGCCTCCAGCTGTTTGCTTAGAAATTCTAGGGACAATAAGGAGGCCTGCGTCTTGTGACCGTAGCGTACGTGTAGGTATGTACGGCAGGACCAAATCAGAGAGATAGGTAGGAGCAAGCCCATGTAATGCTTTGTAGGTTAGCAGTAAAACCTTGAAATCTGCCCTAGCCTTAACAGGAAGCCAGTGGAGAGGCCAGCCCTAGCCTTCACAGGAAGCCAGTGGAGAGGCCAGCCCTAGCCTTAACAGGAAGCCAGTGGAGAGGCTAGCCCTAGCCTTAACAGGAAGCCTTAACAGGAAGCCCTAGCCTTAACAGGAAGCCAGTGGAGAGGCCAGCCCTAGCCTTAACAGGAAGCCAGTGGAGAGGCCAGCCCTAGCCTTAACAGGAAGCCAGTGGAGAGGCCAGCCCTAGCCTTAACAGGAAGCCAGTGGAGAGGCCAGCCCTAGCCTTAACAGGAAGCCTTAACAGGAAGCCAGTCTAGAGGCTAGCACTGGAGTAATATCAAATAAAATCCAATTGTATTTGCCACATGCGCTGAATACAACAGGTATATACATTACCGTGAAATCCTTACTTACAGCCCTTAACCAACAATGCATTAATTTTTTTATAAAAAAGTAAAATAAAACAACAACAACAAAAAAGTGTTGAGCAAAAAAAGCAGAAGTAAAATAAAATAACAGTAGGGAGGCTATATACAGGGGGTACCGGTGCAGAGTCAATGTTAGTTGAGGTAATATGTTGAGGTAGTTGAGGTAGTTGAGGTAATATGTACATGTGGGTAGAGTTAAAGTGACTATGCATAAATCATTAACAGAGTGTAAAAATATGGGGTGGGGGTGGGTGGGCAGTGCAAATAGTCCGGGTAGCCATGATTAGCTGTTCGGGAGTCTTATGGCTTGGGGGTAGAAGCTGTTGAGAAGCCTTTTGGACCTAAACTTGGCGCTCCGGTACCTCTTGCCGTGCGGTAGCAGAGAGAACAGTCTATGACTAGGGTGGCTGGAGTCTTTGACAATTTTGAGGGCCTTCCTCTGACAATATGATACATTTTTAATTTGTTTTTGTTCTACTCAAGATTCTAGCAGCCGTATTTTGCACTAACTGAAGTTTATTTAGTGCTTTATCTGGGTAGCCGGAGAGTAGAGCATTGCAGTAGTCTAATCTAGAAGTGGTAAAAGCATGGATTAGCTTTTCTGCATCATTTTGTGGTCCGCATCATTTTGTGGCTCAGCTGGTCCTTTGATCAATAATATAATAATACTTTTAGCAAAAATGTTTGTCTTTAATTTACAATCTGTAGAAACTATGGGAATAGAAAGGTTCAGAACTTTTGTGAAACATCACAGCATTTTATAAAAACATTAGCTCCTCGGTTATGTGGTTAACTGATCAACTGTACTCTGACATCCTTGAGTAGGTGGAGGGACTCTGGAAGGGCATCTAGAAATCTTTGGGTTGTGCGAGAATTTATTGCGCAGCTTTTGATAATCCTTGGTTGGGGTCTGAGCAGATGATTTGTTGCGATTGCAAATATAATAAGATGGTAGTCCGATAGTCCAGGATTATGAGGAAAAACATTTAGATCCACAATATTTAATCCACGGGACAATAATAGATCCAGGTTATGACTGTGGCAATGCGTAGGTCGGGAGACATGTTGGACGAAACCCAGTGAGTCGATGATGGCTCCGAAAGCCTTTTGGAGTGGATCTGTGGAATTTTCCATGTAACCAAAAATTATACTATTATCTGCCATGACTACAAGGTGCGATAGGAATTCAGGGAACTCCATGAGGAACGCTGTATACGGCCCAGGAGGCCTGTAAACAGTAGATATAGAAAGGGATTCAGTAGGCTGCATAGATTTCATGACTAGAAGCTCAAAAGACGAAAACGCAGTCATTATTTTAATTGTTTTGAAATGTTCTGTCGTAAATATTAGCAACACCTCCGCCTTTGTGGGATGCACAGGCGATATGGTCACTAGTGTAACCAGGAATAGAGGCCTCATTTAACACAGTAAATTCATCAGGCTTGAGCCATGTTTCAGTCAGGACAATCACATTATGACGTTATGATCAGTGATTAGTTCATTGACTATGACTGCCTTGGAAGTGAGGGATCTAACATTAAGTAGACCTATTTTCACATATGAGATATTATCACAATCTCTTTCAATAATGACAGGAAGGGAGGAGAACTTTATTCCAGTGAGATTGCTAAGGCGAACCCCGCCATGTTTAGTTTTGCCCGACCTAGATCGAGGCACAGACACGGTCTCAATGGGGATAGCTGAGCTGACTACACTGACTGTGCTAGTGGCAGACTCCACTAAGCTGGCCGGCTGGTGCCTGCTGTCTGGCCTGCACCCTATCTTATTATGGAGGAGTTTGAGCCCTGTCTGTGTTGATAGATAAGATGAGACAATACAGACATTCATAATATGGTAAGCACACTGTGTGTGTCTGTGTTTAATTTCCATACTGTAATAGAACAGGACCAAACCAGGATGTAGTGGCTGTAACCAAAGCAGAGACACACACCAGTCAGTACACACACAATACACACACCGGGTTCACACACACACCAGTCAGTACACACACAATACACACACCGGGTTCCCAGTCAGTACACACACAATACACACACCGGGTTCACACACACACCAGTCAGTACACACACAATACACACACCGGGTTCCCAGTCAGTACACACACAATACACACACCGGGTTCACACACACACCAGTCAGTACACACACAATACACACACCGGGTTCCCAGTCAGTACACACACAATACACACACCGGGTTCACACACACACCAGTCAGTACACACACAATACACACACCGGGTTCCCAGTCAATACACACACAATACACACACCGGGTTCACACACACACCAGTCAGTACACACACAATACACACACCGGGTTCACACACACACCAGTCAATACACACACAATACACACACCGGGTTCACACACACACATCAGTCAATACACACACAATACACACACCAGGTTCACACACACATCAGTCAATACACACAATACTCAGGGATCTATATGTAAATAACTGGTAAAGAATCTAGAGCAGGTTTACATCAATCCAATGCTCTTAAACGTGTGCTGAGGAGTGAACGAATGCTGAGGAGTGAATGAATGCTGAGGAGTGAATGAATGCTGAGGAGTGAACGAATGCTGAGGAGTGAACGAATGCTGAGGAGTGAACGAATGCTGAGGAGTGAACGAATGCTGAGGAGTGAACGAATGCTGAGGAGTGAACGAATGCTGAGGAGTGAACGAATGCTGAGTAGTGAACGAATGCTGAGGAGTGAACGAATGCTGAGGAGTGAACAAATGCTGAGGAGTGAACGAATGCTGAGGAGTGAACGAATGCTGAGGAGTGAACGAATGCTGAGGAGTGAACAAATGCATTTCAGGAGAAAGGACAGAGAATTGGAACACTGTACATTTGGCCTCTTGGGGGTTGAGTGTGTCTGATTGGTTGTTGCTCCTGTCCATCAGGCAAATCTGAATATTCCAATGGGAGCGCTGCGTCCAGGGGCGGGACATCCTGTCAAGAGGAGAGAGGAGACAGCAGACTCAGAGGAGGTCAGACACACACACAAACACACACACACACAAAAGCACACACACACACACAAAAGCACACACACACACACACACACACAAACACACACACACTAATTTGGCTTGATGACCTAAATTCACATTAGGAAACTCTTTTTGTAAAGGCTCCTCCCCCAGACCCACTGCAGGAGGTCACGGCCCTGTCGCCAGAGGAGAAGAAGCCATTGCCTGGATCGATGAAGCTTCCTGGTCCAGCCGTCAACCTATCAGAGCTGCAGAACGTCAAGAGTGAACTACGATGGGTCACCAAGGATTAACACACACACTGGTACACACACACACACACACACACACACACACACACACACACACACACACACACACACACACACACTGGTACACACACACACACACACACACACACACACACACACACACACACACACACACACACACACAACACACACACACACACACACACACACACACACACACACACACACTGGTACAGACACACACACACCACACACACCACACACACCACACACTGGTACAGACACACACACACACACACACACACACACACACACACACACACACACACTGGTACAGACACACACACACACACACACACACACACACACACACACACACACACACACACACACACACACACACACACACTGGTACAGACACACACACACACACACACACACAACACCACACACACACACACATGGTACAGACACACACACACACACAACACAAACACACAACACACACACACACACACACACACACACACACACACACACACACACACACACACACACACACACACACACACACACACACACACACACACACACACACACACACATGTCCACTTCAACCATGAAAAACATTGCAGGAGCTGCAGTTTTAGGATTTCACTACAAGGTGTCAGTGTGAGCTGTGTATTCTTCTTATTAGAGTTATGAGTACTAATTAGTGGTTATGAGTACTAATTAGAGTTATGAATACCTATTAGGGGTTATGAATACTAATAGAGTTATGAATACCTATTAGTGGTTATGAATACCTGTTAGAGTTATGAATACCTATTAGTGGTTATGAATACCTATTAGGGGTTATGAGTACTATTAGTGGTTATGAATACCTATTAGGGGTTATGAGTACTATTAGTGGTTGTGAATACTATTTGGGTTATGAATACCTATTAAGGGTTATGAGTACTAATTAGGGGTTATGAGTACTATTAGTGGTTATGAATACCTATTAGGGGTTATGAATACCTATTAGTGGTTATGAATACCTATTAGGGGTTATGAGTACTAATAGTGGTTATGAATACCTATTAGGGGTTATGAGTACTAATTAGTGGTTATGAATACCTATTAGGGTTTATGAGTACTATTAGTGGTTATGCATACCTATTAGGGGTTATGAGTACTAATTAGGGGTTAAGAGTACTATTAGTGGTTATGAATACCTATTAGGGGTTATGAGTACTATTAGTGGTTATGAATACCTATTAGGGGTTATGAGTACTATTAGTGGTTATGAACACTATCTGGGTTATGAATACCTATTAGGGGTTATGAGTACTAATTAGGGGTTATGAGAACTATTAGTGGTTATGAATACCTATTAGGGGTTATGAGTACTATTTGGCTTATGAATACCTATTAGGGGTTATGAGTACTAATTAGTGGTTATGAATACCTATTAGGGGTTATGAAAACCTTTTAGGGGTTATGAGTACTAATAGTGGTTATGAATACCTATTAGGGGTTATGAGTACTAATTAGTGGTTATGAATACCTATTAGGGGTTATGAATACCTATTAGGGGTTATGAATACCTATTAGTGGTTATGAATACCTATTAGGGGTTATGAATACCTTTTAGGGGTTATGAGTACTAATAGTGGTTATGAATACCTATTAGGGGTTATGAGTACTAATTAGTGGTTATGAATACTATTAGGGGTTATGAATACCTATTAGGGGTTATGAGTACTATTAGTGGTTATGAATACTATTTGGGTTATGAATACCTATTAGGGGTTATGAGTACTAATTAGGGGTTATGAGTACTATTAGTGGTTATGCATACCTATTAGGGGTTATGAGTACTAATTAGGGGTTAAGAGTACTATTAGTGGTTATGCATACCTATTAGGGGTTATGAGTACTAATTAGGGGTTAAGAGTACTATTAGTGGTTTTGAATACCTATTAGGGGTTATGAGTACTATTAGTGGTTATGAATACCTATTAGGGGTTATGAGTACTATTAGTGGTTATGAATACTATCTGGGTTATGAATACCTATTAGGGGTTATGAGTACTAATTAGGGGTTATGAGTACTATTAGTGGTTATGAATACCTATTAGGGGTTATGAGTACTATTTGGCTTATGAATACCTATTAGGGGTTATGAGTACTAATTAGTGGTTATGAATACCTATTAGGGGTTATGAATACCTATTAGGGGTTATGAGTACTAATTAGTGGTTATGAATACCTATTAGGGGTTATGAATACCTTTTAGGGGTTATGAGTACTAATAGTGGTTATGAATACCTATTAGGGGTTATGAGTACTAATTAGTGGTTATGAATACCTATTAGGGGTTATGAATACCTATTAGGGGTTATGAATACCTATTAGTGGTTATGAATACCTATTAGGGGTTATGAATACCTATTAGGGTTTATGAGTACTATTAGTGGTTATGAATACCTATTAGGGGTTATGAATACCTATTAGTGGTTATGAATACCTATTAGGGGTTATGAGTACTATTAGTGGTTATGAATACTATTTGGGTTATGAATACCTATTAGGGGTTATGAGTACTAATTAGGGGTTATGAGTACTATTAGTGGTTATGCATACCTATTAGGGGTTATGAGTACTAATTAGGGGTTAAGAGTACTATTTGGGTTATGAATACCTATTAGGGGTTATGAGTACTAATTAGGGGTTAAGGGTACTATTAGTGGTTATGAATACCTATTAGGGGTTATGAATACCTATTAGGGGTTATGAGTACTAATTAGGGGTTAAGGGTACTATTAGTGGTTATGAATACCTATTAGGGGTTATGAATACCTATTAGGGGTTATGAGTACTAATTAGGGGTTAAGGGTACTATTAGTGGTTATGAATACCTATTAGGGGTTATGAATACCTATTAGGGGTTATGAGTACTAATTAGGGGTTAAGGGTACTATTAGTGGTTATGAATACCTATTAGGGGTTATGAATACCTATTAGGGGTTATGAGTACTAATTAGGGGTTAAGGGTACTATTAGTGGTTATGAATACCTATTAGGGGTTATGAATACCTATTAGGGGTTATGAGTACTAATTAGTGGTTATGAATACCTATTAGGGGTTATGAATACCTATTAGGGGTTATGAATACCTATTAGGGGTTATGAGTACTTATTAGTGGTTATGAATACCTATTAGGGGTTATGAGTACTTATTAGTGGTTATGAGTACTTATTAGTGGTTATGAGTGCTTATTAGGGGTTATGAGTACTTATTAGTGGTTATGAGTACTGATTTGTATTATGAGTACTTATTCGTGGTTATGAGTGCTTATTAGGGGTTATGAGTACTTATTTGGGTTATGAGTACTGATTTGTATTATGAGTACTTATTAGGGGTTATGAGTACTTATTTGGGTTATGAGTACTTATTAGGGGTTATGAGTACTTATTTGGGTTATGAGTACTGAGTTGTATTATGAGTACTTATTAGGGGTTATGAGTACTTATTTGTATTATGAATACTTATTAGGGGTTATGAGTACTTGTTTGGGTTATGAGTACTTATTAGGGGTTATGCCTACTTATTTGGGTTATGAGTACTTATTTGGATTATGAGTACTTACTAGGGGTTATGAGTACTTATTAGGGGTTATGAGTACTTATTAGGGGTTATGAGTTTTCTATATGGTCCTGGAAATATATGGTTTGTGTGTAGGTATGAAAAATGTATGCACTCACTAACTGTAAGTCGCTCTGGATAAGAGTGTCTGCTAACTGACAAAAAAAAAAAAAAAAAAAAAAATAGGTAGTGTATGTTGTGGCACTGGACTGTTTTTAAAAAACATGTAACTTTATGAACACTGTATGGTTCTGTCTTTATGAACACTGGATGGTTCTGTCTTTATGAACACTGTATGGTTCTGTCTTTATGAACGCTGTATGGTTCTGTCTTTATGAACGCTGTATGGTTCTGTCTTTATGAACACTGTATGGTTCTGTCTTTATGAACGCTGGATGGTTCTGTCTTTATGAACGCTGGATGGTTCTGTCTTTATGAACGCTGTATGGTTCTGTCTTTATGAACGCTGTATGGTTCTGTCTTTGCCTGCGGTCTCCCTTATCTCAAGGGACTTCCTAGTTAAATAGAGGTTACATACAAATATGAAAACGATAACCTGGCTAAGTCTTTCTGTTTCTGTGTCCTTCAGCAGTGTTCCCCAACATGTCCTCCAGTACCCCCAACAGGTGGGTTGTAGCCTGGACAAGCACACCTGATTCAACTCATCCAGGGCTTGATGATTCGTTGACAAGTTGAATCGGGTGTGCTTGTCCAGGGCTAAAATAAAATCTGTTCTGTTGGGGGTACTGGAGGAGTTGGGAAACACTGTACAACAGGTTGATCATCAGACCCACACCCTCCTGCATCTTCTACTGATGGACTACAACTACCAGACCCATCCTGCATCTTCTACTGATGGACTACAAGATCCACCCTGCATATTTTACTGATGAACTACCAGACCCACCCTACATCTTCTACTGATGGACTACAACTACCAGACCCATCCTACATCTTCTACTGATGGACTACAACTACCAGACCCATCCTGCATATTCTACTGATGGACTACAAGACCCACCCTGCATCTTCAACTGATGAACTACAATATTTGCCCTGCATCTTCTACTAATGAACTACAACTACCAGATCCACCCTGCATCTTCAACTGATGGACTACAACTACCAGATCCACCTTGCATCTTCAACTGATGGACTACAACTACCACCAGACTAACCCTTTCAGCAACAGCCAACTATACCAGACTAACCCTAACCCTATCAGCTACAGCCAATCATACCATACCAGTGATCTGCAACAGGCCATCCACTTCAACCAACCCATAACTGGTTTAATATCCCATACAGTGAAGGTAGGGTTAGGGATAGACTGAATTGGAGTGAACTGAACTGAGCAATAACACAACCAGACCTGGTAGCTATAGGTCTCGGTGTTACCTTACATATTATA